CTACTTTGTCCACCTCGTCAGTGGGCAACTTCCAACTCAAATGATGTCATGTTATCCGTCAAGTGGCACAAATTCGACAATACCCGTCTACTCCCTGACGAAGCTGATCAAACCTTCATCATTCCTCGGATAAAATGTATCCAAAGCAACTTTACTTGAAATGTACCTTACCGCATCATGATCAGATGTCCACGCTATACCTACACCGAAATTAACCAAATTATTGATGGAGAACCCCAGCCAGCGTCGTCTATACGCATTGCGCAGCGCGTTACCATTCGGTGGATGGCTAACGGAATTCGCACGCTCGAGATGACTGCGATTAGCAACAACGTGCCACATTGACAATATCCTCAGATACCTTATCCATAACTTCATCTAACTGTACCACAAGCGTACTTATCAATGCCCCCTGTCATGCGAAGCTTTTCTACACTTGCTCCACAATTCTTGACCTTCCTCCACAAAGTTTCAACAATCTTGGAGGGTTGTTATACCTAGCGCATGGATGCCATATCTGCTTCCCTTGTATATTTTGCTTACATCCCCTTACGACATTATCCATATGACTACAACAGCACTGTACGACTCCATTTTTATAAAACGCCGACTTTCCCTGTGTGGTTCTGTTGCATACCCCATGTAATTTACGCCCCTGTTCCGACGCTTTATTACGCTCTGTACCTGGAAACGCAAACGCGAGGTTCTCTATACTATTTTCTTCAATCGCTGCAACCATTGTTGATGCTGACTGCACATCTGCGCATTTTCTGGTCATGTCATATCATGGTGTGCCTCATTCTATCGAGAGTAAAATACTTTATCTATCTATTTATTTAAGAACGTTAGGGGCTTCTCTCATCTGCTCTGACTAAGTTGTGTTAGCCAGGAAACTACATGACGCAACCTAATGGTGTGTTCCCAAATTCCAATCAGCTGGACTTGGCATCAAGTGAACATCATTACAACTATATTGACACTACTAGTTAACCTTACTATTTCTATCTACACCATCCAACGTAACCCGTTGAACGCTTGCTTTTCTATCCGCTATATACCATTGTTCCATCGTTCTATTAGTTCACTTAGAAACCGTACAGTTCATTGCCTAGTACTAACGGCGTGTTTGCAGCTTGGCTGTCTGTTTAAGGCTTGTATGTTACAGAGTTATCCATAAGTTGGGTCTACTCGTGACACCAATGTCGCCTTATCTTCGCATGTTAGTTAAAATAGCCTCCCAAACTAGCTTTAAATCATTAGGCATCACTAAGCGCATACCTTTCCAGAGATCCAAATCTGTCTTTATGAAAAGCGCAGTAAGATGATGTAGACTGACAAATGCATACATTTCGTATTGTCTCCTCAGTGCCTTTAACAATAACTCACAATAATATTTGTTCAGTGAAGGGTGCAATCAAACATGGTTGGCGGCATCCGGTTTCGGATTTGCCTGTCCCTATCATCAGCCACAGGACGCCTGCGCCTACAGAGGGATCATGAGTGGCTTGCGCTGCACCACCCACAGCTCCAACCACATACCCATATCCAGTGTAAACCCGAAGGAATAAGACCGGGACGCATGTGGATAGGAGCCACGTTTCATCAACGGAGTCGGCCCACACTCCTTCACAGGCAAACACAAGCACGCTGTATTTGGGGAATCAAGTGCACACAAGACGGTGGCTGGACCGTAGTCCGCTCCACACTGAGTGCATGGAACCGCTCTTTGAGCCTAGCACGGCGACAAGGACCGTGCACCCCGTCCCCTCCAGCAACCACCACCTGTCTCCTAGAGCCAATATGGACGAGGTAGTAGGTAATAGACAGGTAGGCATCTTGTGAACATGCACATCAACCGCAGCCACACCGGGGATATCAAGCAACAGCCAATCACTTGAAACGACAAGTTGAAATAAAACAAATCCAATAATGCAAACAGATACCGTGACATAATTCGTCCCTAAATTAGCATATGAAGTAAGTTGGTTAGCAACGAATCCGCGATAAGGAATAAATGTCCGCAAGTTACTTAAAAATGCTACAAACGCAACAAAATTACCCAAGATAAGCGCAATTAGCGTAAGCACCGTGGCCAGTTACTAGAACATTATTCAGCTAAGCAGAACAAACCAAATAAAGTGGAATGAAATTTATCCAGCTTAAAAAGACCTAGTTTTAGTTGGTTTATCCCAACTGCAGTGAAGAAGCATCAAGAATGCAACATCAGCCTCAGTGACCAAACATAGATGCAAACAAACAGACCAACACAACATAAACGAGACAGGGTTATCACCCCTATCCCCAGGGCAGTCTACTCCTGACCGATTTTCCTTTCTGAACACAAAGCAGCGGCTTAATCCGGTTAATTGCAGTCGTCTCTGCCAAACGGAGGACATGAGCATTGGGGTGCTATAATAGGAGTGTGAACGCCGAAGTGACCTAGACTCGGTGACCTGTAGCCAAAAATTGTCGGCCGATCGAAGGGGCTGGTGGCTTACGCAGGCAAACAGCTAGGCTCTGGCCAGTTTCCTGCGCGGTCGAACGTTGCACCCACTTAGATACTTGCTCCTTCAATCCGGAACTCAATGTTCTATCGGTCCTGCCTATGTAACTGGCGCCGCAGTCACAAACGAATTGATAAATGCAATGCGATTTGACCCCGATAGGCCGAACCTCCTTTACAGAAGGAAGTGGCCGTTTTGGGGTTTTATTAAGGATAACGACCTTGGAGGCATAGTAAGTTGTCTGCATGGCACTGATCAGTCGCCTTGTGGTACTTAACGAGGAGACATCAGCTTTGAATGACATTCCAATGACTACAAGCTTCTTGGGTACTGTGTGCACTTGCCTATATTTCTCTATAAACCTTCGTGGGTAACCGTTTTCAATGAGCGTTTTTGTAATCAACTGCAATTCCTCACTCAGGCAATCAGCGGAGCAGATTCGGCTGGCACGACTAATCAGGGTTCTTAAGAGCGTCCGTTTGTGTCGCATTGGTGTGAATCTAATGAAATGCTCGGATCATGTTGATTTCCTGTAGACAGACCCCTTAATCTGCCCATTTTATCTGCGGCTGATAAGGATATCCAAGTACAGGAGGAAATTGTGCTTCGCTACCTCACAGGAGACCCGCAAGTTGGCGTGCACAGAATTTAGTTGCGTTACCAACTGCTCCATCTGATGCTCCGATGAACAAAATGCCAGTTATCATCCACGTAGCGTTTGTAGTATGACACTCGAGATATTTCTCTAGACATACCTTGTTCTACCATTTACAAAGAAATCGGCGAGTAACGGGGCTAATGGACAGTCTATTGTTACTCCATCAATTCCACAGTACTATGTATTTCTGAAGTGAAAGTTGACATTTTCCGTACACAACAACAACGAGTCTCTTAGTAGTTTAACTAGCATTGGTAGGGTACACCGCAAACCTTGTGGTAGTTTACAAATATAATAAAAGTTTGGTGCAGGGGAACATTGGTAAACAACGATTCCACATCTAACGAGCACATGACCTTGTCGGATACATTAAGTATGTCGAGGTCCTTGATAACCTCGAAAGAATCTTTGAGGCTGTATAGAATGGTCCACTCTCGCAGCGGAGAAAGCAATTTCACCAGCCAGCAAGCCAGGTTATGTTGAGGCGCGTTTACCATCAACAGAATCGGTCTGAGCGGCACCCCACTCTTATGGACATTCGGTAGGCCGTATATTTGAGCAGTAGTGGAGCCAGTCAGCTTCAATCTGTCACAAGTATCACTGTCAATCACACGATGCAGATGAAGCAGATCTAAGTGACGAGTTATGCGAGAATCTAACACAGTCACAGCATCTGCCCTCTCAAGTCGTTTGCATTTACTTGTGTCCTCGAGTATGACTGTCACCTTGTTGTATTCATCCTTATTCATGGGCACTACACCAGAACCCTTATCTGACTTTGTTGCAATCCCATCTTCGGCACGTAGTTCGCGTAACGCCTGTAAATGCTGTTTTGTAATCGCACACTTTTGTTTTACTGGCACATGTTTAACCTCTTAAGCAACACCTGTCAGCTTGTTTCTAAACCATATGAGCTTATCAGCATTGGCTGGTTGTAGATGTTTCACCTGATCAAAGAATTTTTCAAACTGCGATACAATAAGAAGCTCATTTAACCGTCTAGGAGGAGCTTTGTAGTCTTTGTCTAATGATATTGCTTCCAATTGTAAGGCATTAAGCTTCAAATCCGACATATTCACCACATACTTACCGGGATCACGAGTAACTGCCACTTCCACTTTTTGAATGGTTTAACCACCATCGACCGGGGATCTTATATGGACTTTCGGTAAGTTTGGCCAACCTCTCCTGTCAAATTCTCATGGGCGCGTTGAAGGTCTTCCGGAATTTGTATAAAACAGCCCAACTCCTGCTTAGTGGAATAAGCAAAGGAGTTACTAGTGCACCTTAATGTGTATCGGTTTTTGCACCTATGTAACTATCTCATTTCTCGGCCAATGCGTACATTTGTTATGTCTCTATGGACACATGTAAAATGATACAGTTTCCCATTTGCGTTAACTAAAAGGTGGGTTATACAACGTTCATCCAAGCATGTGCTCTTATAGCAAGCAATCCAAAGCAGTCGACAAAGAGACCTGAGCTTAAGTGTCATAGTTTATTTTCCACCGGTCTTGGCTTGGACGCTAACCTCGATAACATCGCGACGACACAACTGAAGGTCAACAGCCTTTAAAGCTACCAACTACATCAGACGATATCAGCAGTTTATTCAGATCTCTACACTGAATACTTCACTCCCATGTCGGTCACCTAACATCGGGTCTCCGTCCGAACTTGGGTGAATGAATGAATTGGGTTGAGCTAATCCTGCGGGCCGGCGGTGGCTACTATCGAGCAGGTTCTACATGAGCCAACCGGATGTTGTGAGGTGGCAGATGAAACATGTGATGTGAATTATTGGAGCTAGCTTTTCGGTCAGCGATGTGTTAACTTACGTGTTTTGTGCGGCTGCGATAGCATTTTGGCCTGAGAAATTTTGCGATGCCACAGCTGCTGCGGCGGCGGCGGCCATAGCTGCCGCTGCGATGGGTTGCTGCGTGGATGTGGCAGGCGCATGTTGTACCATCGTCGGTGCTAGCGTGTTGGTCGATTGGCATGACGAGACTGAGCATGAAGTGACCGCATTTGTTGTCGTGGCAGACGCTGTCGTAGAAGTTATGGATTGACCATTAGAGGTCCCGTTATTGCTAGCACTTCGATGAGTATTGGGTGTTGTGGATGCGACCAAGGGGTTACCAGCACCAGATATTGCGCGTAAAAAGTTGGCTGCAACGGCTGCTGCTGCGTACTGTGGTAAACCACCGCCCATGCCTATTGCGTTGATCCCGTTCGTGGGGGTTGCAAGTTGCGTCGCGCCGTTGATCGCAGCGGCCGAGTAGCCCATAGCGGCTAAGGCTTGTTGACTGGCCTGGAGTTGCTGTTGCTGCTGTTGTTGTTGCTGCTGTTGCTGCTGCTGTAGCCTTTGTTGCAAGTCGAGATCAGTACCGACTCCGAACCCGGCAGTACTGGCGTCTAGCCACTGAAGGGAAGAATTGACAATTTTAGTAAAACTCACTACTGTAAATGCACTCGGTTTTCCACACATAAAATTACGTATCAAAACGCTTAGTTAGTTTGATGGGAAGGGTGAGTGAATACTTATTCAGGTACTACATGCGCATAGGGAGCGCAATAAATAACTACTTACTCAAAACAGATCAGCAAAATAACAAACAAACCGATTTCCAGATTCTCTATAACTTACCAGCAGCGCACAGCTATGGACTAAGCGCTAGACTGCTTGCAGCTGCGGAGACGATATGCATACGATTAACAAGACCCGATACAATCTTTGCAACTGGTGTGGCCTGCCGCCGGAATCGAAGGATTCGATGCAATTCAGCACATTCCCATGAGTTTGCGAACATGATTATACACCTGAAACTGTGATCTCACTCCAAACAGTTTTAGCAACTTTATGTGGTTCATCGCATTTAGATCACCAGTCACATGGGTGAGCTACTAATCCGGAACAACACCTGAGGATCATTTCATCTTATTGGGACGCGTCAGTAGTGCGCATTCCCTCGGTTCCTTGCGGGGGATCGAAACCATGAACGCTGCTGGTTTACACGACTGACCAGCAGCTCATGCCACTGAGCCATGGCAGCCAATGGTCGACAATCACGTATTGAAATCTAACTGTAACAACCCCGACCCAACCTCCACTGTCATGCAGATTACTGCCAGTGTGGAGGTTGGCTGCGGGAAGGCGAATCATTGACGAATCCTGAAAGGACGAAACGATCGTCTAGCGCTTTATCGGATTGGTAGCTCACCTATGCGGCGTCTAATCTACTTGCATTGAACGCAATAAAATCATACTCAAATCCGTCTACTCACTAGTAATTTGATCAAGTATCTACTCCTGTTTGTACAAACGAATGATAGCCAACATCAACATCATGTTTATTACTGTCAAAACCTGACGAAAATGTAATCGAAAACAACTATTGGCTTTTCGCTTGCAGCTTTTGATTTTTTTCTGGGATTTATGCCTTATTGACTTCTGTACCTGCTGACGGAAAACAAGATAATGTAAAGATCACCAGTCCTGACTGACAGCTATGATTTTAATCCTATTTCTCCGTCAGCGCTGAATTGGATGTTCGAAAGTGAAAGCAAAATATGAAAATCTGAATTACATCCCGACTGGCAGAAGTAGTTCTCGGGCAAAGAATACGCTTACCAAGGGATTTCCGATTAGCGCATGGTTCGCTCCAGCGGTCAGCATTTGTGATGGATGCGGCAGCACACCCATTGCAGCCAATGAGTTGGCTAACCCCACTTGCTGGTTAGTGGTCCCAAAACCAGGGATCGCAGTGACCCCCGGTTGGCCAGTTGGCATGCATCCTGCATTAGCAGCAGCGTTATTCAGACAACCACTGTTGATAAGAGCTGTGAGCCAGGCTGCTGCATTGGCGTCTCCACCAGTCAAGTAGAGGGCGGCATTGGCACCGGGATTGTAGGTTGCACCACCAGGGGCTGCGGAGGCCAGCGCAGCTACTAGCAGAGCAGGATGTGTGGCAGCCGAAGACCCACTGGAAATGGAGCCAAAATTGGCTAATATTGGATTTGCGGCAGCAGCTGCTGCCAGGGATGCCTGAGTCGGTCCTTGAAGGAGGCTTCCAATCCCCGGAACACTTAACGTAAGACCCCCAGTCGAGGAGACAGATGCGATGGGGAGGCCAGTGTTCAGGCCAGCTGCGTTCCGGATGGCTGCCGCCAAAGCAGCTGTGGTGCTAGGGACAAGAGGTCTGACTCCACGAACTGTGGTTGATGCTGAAATAAAAAACGAAGCCAAACTAATACATTGTAACAGTGCTATCCCAAATATACGCCAACATAAACTGCCATACCACAAATACACATGTACACAACCAAACGGAAGTAGCCGGGTAACAACATTCCATGATTAAGGGCTCTACAGCAGTTTGTGCCACATTACGCTCTAGTTGTACTTCGGTTGTCCAAAACCTCTGCACTATAAGAGTGTGTTTGATCTGGAAGGCTTGATCAATCCGGATTCTTGACAGAGATATAAAATCGAGTGGAAGACGAATTGCAACCATCCTTGCTACCTACGCATCCTTCACAACGATGTAGTTCTATCTACTTGGCCAGTGGGTATGTGATGCACCGTTAGGGGTACCCATAATGATCTCATCTGCAATGCTAGCCTACTTGGCAATAAACCATATTTCCCTGTAAAAGAGAAGTGATGCACCTTATGGGCTATGGAAAGTGTCAAGAGTGGGAAGTTTCAAGGACACTCCTGGCCGGACAAAAGATGGATAAGATGGATAATGATGTAGGTATGTTGGTGGCATTGACGTAGATTCGCTCCTCGCTTTTCGCGTTAACTGAAATCCACTCCTATGTTACCTGCCAACTTTCTTTACGGGGGTACGGTAGTAAATGCCTATTTTGGTGTAGGCTTCTTCCAAGCGATCAGCTGCGGTACTACAGCAACAGTTTGCCCTCTTAAAGGAAAAAAGAAGGAAAATGCTTACTCAAAGCTAAATTTGTTTGTCTCACGCATTTATAGGTGAGCAAAACGTCTGTATTTGACAGAGTCGTGCGAATAAACTATTTTCATAAGCATCGATGCCGGTCCAGGTGAAAGTTAATTTTTGCTTTATTCATTCACAGCCAAAGACCGAAGAATAATTCATCTATATGCCCCTGAATTACGCTTTCCATTCACATATAACCTCGTTAGTAATTACATGAACAAGCCTAGTCTCACAGGTCTCTTCTTGCAATGTTTAACGGGTTTTAAAACAGAGAACGACCACTTTTCTTGTTATACCAAAATCCTCTTTGGTGTTGGTTCGCTGTCAGATCCAAAGTTTTTCGTAAATTCAAAAACATGGTTTTTACCTCACAATAGACCTGATTATTCAGCCCAACCATAAAAACGCCCTAGTTCCCAGAACGTGCGCTGTGAAAAGAGTAAATTAATTGCGGATTGAGTCATACTGTTGCTCAATTTACAGGGTATTGCGATGCTCATGTCTTTGAAACCAAACGAATACATACCGATTTCATGCGAACAGAGGAGAGAAATTATGGTAACAGAGTTACACACGCTAATTAACATTCCACTGGAGTTAACTAAGCCACTAGCTTACAGGCTTCCATTTAGGTGAACGCTCTTAAATCACAGCCACACCTGCTATAACTGAGTTCACATTATGCCACGACACGAGCAGATCGTATGCATTCTATTCTGACATACTTTTAAGCAATGGTGATGTCTCCGATTTCTTCTTTGTCATGACTCTCGCTGTGGCATTGTTGATCTGTAAGGGGGGGGACAGCGAAACAGTTGAACAAATGACAACGATTTTATACGGGTTAAGAAGCATTGCTTTACAAGTCTCGTTAGTTATTCTGGTGGGTTATCGAAAAACGTTACTTAAACAAATGCAGTTCCTAGTTCTACTGTCAAAAGAATGGACTTATCGTATGTGATACAGTATCCCTGCACTCCGAGTTTTTCCAGAGCTTCAATAGGCGAAAACAAAATAAATTCAAACTATTTCACGAGACTAGGATGGAGAGTATCGTCAAGTAACAAAATGCAACCGGTGGAGTGCGTCATTCAACCGAATTTTAACTATGGCCAGCGTGTGTGCGAAAATAACCGATTCGGGGAGAGCATTCCATCGTTGACACACACGAGTGGAAAAGACATTTCTACCGCATTCCAGGCGGCTGTACTGTTCTGGTAATTTCAAGGGATGGCCTCTAATGGTCTATCGAAGTGAAGTGGACAAGGACACAAGTTAACGCGGTGATATAATGCGTATTTGATTAAACTCTGAACTGGCAGCTAAAGAGAACCATGGGTTATGCAGCGTATCAGTCTGCAACCCAGTTTAGGAAGCACTGAAACTGACGCCATTTACGGTCGTGTGACAATGTCATACTGTTGCATTATATACTGAGCAATCTCAATCATGTGTGTTGCCATCTACTGAGGCTAGGAGGCCGAATTTGTTGTGTATTTCTCAAGAATCTACCACACAGCTCCGTTGGGAACTGGTTGTCATTCAGACAGGACAAAACGAAGTTACATTTCACCGTCGCACCAACCACCGTTCTATCTGCACACCCAGTAGCCAGTATAAACCGGAAGGAATAAGTTCGAGAGGCATGTGGATAGGATCCACCATTGACTGGGAGCCGGCTTGCGTTTCTTTAAATCACGTGACGTTCAGGCAAGCTTGGGGAAGTATGTGTACTAAGCACATACTTGGTTCACTCTATTAAGTCCCTATTGTTTAAGCCTAGCGTTGTCCAAAAGATTGGGTACACTTTCCGCATACCAGTAACGAGTAACAGTCTCCTGAAGAGACCAAGCGAATTAATGGCATTGGATGACGAGACGTCCTATCAGCACTCACATCGGATGCAAGTAAAGTTGATAATTCACTCTGGGATAAAAGTTTAACACATCCCAGCCATTCGGATAAACGTTAGTTTAGGTGACAAATCTTCATCAGTCTCAGTCATCATATCTATCGGTCCATTACAAGCCTCAAAATTGGCCCGTTTTGTCTCCGCTATCTGTCAGGAAACCAGTGTGACTCTTACCAGTACGCAAAGGAAACATTGATAACGTGATCAGTTAGAGATCCATTTAGCTTCGACCGGTGACAGCACGTTGTCCAGCGATGCTTATCTTCCAAAAGAAATACCCCAGCTTGTAGCAGAAACTGACGCACTTGCGGAATTTGCTGGTGATTTGATCGCAATACCCTTGGGTCCATAAATATCCCTTCCATCTTCAGTGTAGATCCGAAGAGTTAGGAGATCAGGAAACATTCTTGTGGGAGCAACTTTACAATCCGGTAGCAATCGCACCTCGTAAGTAAATGAATCCGCGCGGGAATGCATTCCTGTTGCACCGTGCACAAAACTGACGTACGAACATTTGAGGGTACGCGGGTGTTCTCCGCGCTGGCTGATTTGGCTGCACACGTTTTATCGTCAGGCTAGACGACATCATCAGTGCGATTTATGCGAGACACTTACAGATCCAAGTGATTAGTAATCACTTGATTCGAACGTCAGGAGTCGATTGGTCCATGTGAACTGACCGTGTAGTCAGCTCTTGCTTACTATTGGCTAAAGTCCGCCTCAATGAGGTTCCTCTGTCCTGTTGATCTGGGACGGAGTATTGTTTTGACTCTCAGTGCTTCATAGGCAGTATCTAGATCTAAGTTTCTGTTGATTGAGTTCTTTCCCGAGTACCAAGCCTCGATGAATGCGCGTGCTTTTCGACTTTTTGTCTTGCCTATGATCCTGACATTCTCCAAATCAAACTAATGATTCTCGTCGTCCATATGTACCGATATCAGGGAGTTCTGGTCATGTCGGCGGTTGGCTAAGCTATGCTCATGAAGCATAGTGCCGAGCTTTCTTCCTGTCTGGTCCACATAGTACTTGTTACAATTTTTGCAGTGGATTTTGTAAATCACACTACTTGTTTCTTCATTGCCAAGCCGGTCCTTACCATTGAAGAGCTTGTCTCTGATAGCTTCTGTCGGTTTGTGAGCAACTCTAATTCCGAAAGGTAATAGCAGTCTCGCCGCCATCTCAGAGACGCAGACGTCGAGTGATTGTCCTTTTATCCGTCTCTGATGTCTGTTCATGCGTCGGTCGTTTTATTGGTGTTAAACAACATAGAATGAAATCCCTAGGATACCCATTCCGTGCAAACATTTCGAACAGATGATCTTCCTCCGCTTTCCTCAGCTGCGGGGTGCTGCAATGGGTCTGCGTTCTTTTAAATAGAGTTGTTACGCAGCTGCGCTTGTAGACTGTTGGATGATTGCTGCGATAATTCAGGATTTGGTCTGTATGCGTCGTTTTCCGATAAACTGTTGTCTCCAGTTGTCCAGCAGCATGTCTTTTTACTAAAACATCCAAGAATGGTAGCTGACAATTGCTTTCTTCTTCTTTAGTGAAACAGATACCAGCAAACGTGTAGTTTATTAACTAATGTGTTTCTACCACTTTCGAGCGCTTTAGGATGACAAAAGTATCGTCCACGAAGCGTAGCCAGGGTTTAGGTTTTGCGGTCGGGAGTGCGGTTTCTTCCAATGCTTGCATCGCCGCTTCGGCCACTAGCCTAGATATCGGTGAACTCATTGGCCTGCCTGTTATTTGTTCGTAGATTTGGCCGTTGAAACTGAAGTGCGTCATGAGGCATACATCCAACAACTCCATTATGTGGTTGGCATCTATTTTATCGTTCGTTTCTGAGAATCCGCGTTGGTCTAGTCGTGTTGACATCGTTTGCTTCGCCAGAATGGTGTTGATTGAAGTGAACAAAGCTGTTACATCAAAGGAAACCATGATTTCGTCCTCTTCTATTACTGTTTCCCTGAGCTTAGCCAGGAATTGTTCTGCAGATTTTATGGAATGTTCCGAGCCAGAGATCAGGTGCTTCAATCTCTTCCAGAGTTCCTTGGAAAGATTGTAATTCGGAGCTCCAGGTAACGACACGATAGGGCGGAGGGGGACTCCACTTTTGTGAACTTTTGGCAGGCCGTAGAATCGCGGTAACACCGAGTCCTCTGGTTTCATCTTGCTGTGTTAGAATTTTGTAATCTGTCCCATTTGTTCCAGATTTTTTAAGGTGCGTTTGATTTTGTTTTCCAATCGTTTTGTTGGGATCTTCGTTGACCGGTTGGTAGGTATTCACAACTTGGAGAAGCGCTTGCGCTTTCTTCGTGCAATCAGGTTTGTCCATTACGACGGTAAGACGTCCTTTATCAGCCGGTAAGATAACAATATCTTTAGCTTTCCTAAGGTTTTTCAACGCTTTTTGTTCAGTTGTGTTGAACATGTTGGTTTCACTCTTGTGCCTCAGTGCTGGTATGATACTCTGCCTGATCGTGTGTTGGGCGTCAGCTGTGATGTTGCATGAGCTCAGTGTTGTCTCAAGCTCTGCGAGGAAAATGATGAGATTGGAGTCTTTGTAGTTGAATTGCATGCCACGAACAACTACTGCTTTTTCTACATCCGACAGGGTTCGTTTGGATAAATTCTTAATCCATACATCATCTTGATTCACTGCTTTGGGTTTTGAATTTCTCGCTAGTTTCTTTCCAGTTTCTTCTTCGTGTGGAGTTTGGTATTGTGCGTTTTGATGGATATCGCCTTTTCAAGCGCCTTAGTCAATTCTGTGCCGAGGATGGATAAGCATAACTCCTTTTGGAAGTCAATCGTTCGGAGATATTTTTGCCTTTGGTTATGTGCGTCGGTGATCTGCATACGTAACATGCATCGTCCAGGTTCTTCGGTGAATTTCCAGGCCAAAGGATTGTTTTATGGTGGACGGTACTGTATACTTGGTGGCAGAATTTGTCTTCTCAAACATTCATGAAGTAGAGTTGCTCCTGAGTGGAAGATAGCCGGCTGGCATAGGTCTCCCATTGACGAGTAGATTTGAGCGCGCTGCGTCCGAATTCATTAGAAATCCGTGAGGTTCCTGTCTATAGCAATCGTCAAAACAAACTTACAGGTTCGGAAAATGTACCACGTGAGAACAAGACGACTATGCTGCAGTTTGTTCAACAATCGCGCGACTTGTTAAGTCATGGCCTTCAGTGTACAAAGCGCGATATCCCTCTGATGGCAAAGAAAACACATTCTTAAAGCTAGTAATAGACTAGGTATCCTAAACGAGCAGGGGATAATTAGAGACTTTGGAATCGTGCTCGAATATGCCTTACGTACCACGTAGAACTCAAACTGCAACAGTACCCTTCCAGTGTTGTTTGTGTTATGCAATTACGTTGTGAGACGCAAAACAGTTGAATGGTACTGCTACTCCTACTGAGAGTATTCATCCACATGAGCTCTCTGTCAGACAAAAAATGATTTGCCTATCAATCAACTACTCGATAGGTGAAAACTTCGAAGGACGGGTTTATCCAGTAGTCTTTCTTAAGAAGTTAAATCGACATCAATCAAAGTGGGCGCTGTGGGGTTATAGGTACCAATGCATTAGCGACGTGTTTACAATGTTGCACTGAATTTAGAGAGCATTTACTTACCTCAATCTTTCTGCCCTCAACCACAGTTCCATTCAGATTCTCGCGTGCTCTGTCCGCCTCTTCGCTGGTCGCAAACGTGACGAAACCGAATCCCTGACGTTGTGTTCATAGGCGTGCATACAGATCAGTAAACAAAGGTATCGTTAAAGAGTATGATAAGGCGATGCGTTTGAGCAGCGCACACTATAATGGGGCATTGCCACAGATGCTTCAACCGGTAACAATTATACGGAGGAGCCAAGACCGCCGGCAACCCAGGGAGAAACCAAAAAGTTGTGCATGAGCGAACATTGAAGTGTATGTTTGTGTGTGTGTATCTGTGGGCCATATCGACAACAATTAAGGCGAGCGGGTGGTATGTGAGCGAGCCAGTGGACAGGCGAACGAGCCGACGTACACTCTCACAAGTAGGGATATTTGGTTTTTCAAGACACTGATGAGAGATGCAGTGGTGAGCGTGCAGTGCACGTGCGTCAAAGGTGGTCAGTAGCTGGTTACCTTCCCCACTGATGGTACAGACCTGATCCAGGAAGCGAGGTGCATAACTAAGGTGTCCGCATCACTTACATTCCACATGGTAAACAAGTACCCAATCGGCCATTACATGCAACTACACTTAGTCAAGAAAAAAACGGCAATAAAAGAAAGTATATAAGTCTATCGAATACGTGGTAAAATGCAATGGCTGAACCGGACTCTCGTTTATTACGTGACAAACCGTTACACCATTTTACTGCAGCGCAAGTTGAATCCTTGAGTGATAACAACTTTATATTTTTTTAAAAATCAAAAGAACTACATATTGCTAAACGTACTGAACATATGTGTGTAGATGCCTATAATATGATCAGTAATGCATTTAGCCAACGTTTCCTCAGGCACTACTTGCAGGAATCATCTTCACTAGGCATACAGTAAGATTGATTGACACTCCATTTTTCGGTTACCTTGAATCAAATCCCTTTCTCGAGTTGCCTGTTTATAGTAGCCCCTTCAAGTAACTAGGTGCTTTCTAATGAGTGGACGGATGTCAGTGAAGAATCGAACTTGTCGCAACAAGCTTACAAGCAAGATATCCAAACTACAAAAGGGGAAAAAGTAACAGCTTTATTTAATGACTTTTACCACTAGCCATGGAGGACGATAGGCGGCTATCATGAATTGCAAACTAACTACGATATAGCCCAACTCCTCCTCCATTTCCATGCAGATGAGTACCTTTGCGGAGGACAATGGTTGGTTTTCAAGCATCACGTGTCTTTCTGGATTGGCAGTTAAGCTGTCTTGTATGGGAGCTAGTTATGACGAACTCAGTTAGGGGATTGCCCGCTGGAAGTTTGCATATGCCTTAGATCCGGTCTGTTGCGGGTGGTACTCGGTGGCAACCGCTCACACATCTTCCCATACACGTTAATGCCTTCACCTGATCTCTCATATCGAATAGGATATCCAAATATAGCGATCAGCGTAGAGGTGGGACCTCATTGCACCGGAAGATCTCATAATATCTTACGTGAAATAGCACCTTGCCATCATCTATGCTTTTGATGAACGCAAGTGTCCAAAGGTTAGGTCTTGTGCAGAAGACGAAATAACCTCCCGCCTAACCAGTGTTCTGTTTCTTGTACCAACAAGCAAACCAAGTCTTCCGCTACCACGACGTTTAATTTCTGTAACTGCTTCTGCAATTAGGCACTACACGCGGCCGCATGATGACCTCAAAATAGTGCACTAGGCAGTGTAAAAGTTGAGTCACAACGCACTTTTTAAAAGTAATTCCATTGAATGAAGCAAACATTGATGATGTCTATAGCGACTTCTGAGGTGCTTCGGGTTTGCCAAACCTGAGACGCTCTTTATAATTCACAGTTCTCGTTTAGTTCCTTACAACTTACGACTTAACCTATGGTATGCTGGAGTATCTCTTTGTGATTTGCACACGAATACAGGAAGCTCAGTATAAAACAGCAGGCATTTCATTTCGGCTATGCAATGCCCTAAGCATAACAATTCCACAAGCTGCTTCTCGTTCCCTGATGCAACTATGAATATTCAGTGTGCAGGAAGGCCAATCTATGAGCAATCGAAGATTTTAAGATTTTCGGCATGTCAGTATAATCCTGGACAATGGATCACAATCGATCTCGATGCCCGTTATCATCCCCATATCCGTTTAGTTATTTATTTCTGAAGCTAAACTCTCCCACAAAGTAGTGTCATTGCAACAAGGGACCTTGTACTAAAAAGCGGGAAGCAGTTCGGCTACAAACATCCTGTGGTACAGAAAGCAGAATCCATTGAACGAGTAAAACGGAGAAAAAATAAAAGAGGAATACAAACTGATGATAACTGAATAAAGTACAACGAAGATGCTTGCAGCTTGCATTGAGCATAACGTATGCTTCGGTGTGAACTATGCATTAAGAGATCAATAGAAAATACTAAAACGTGCACACATGGAATAATAATGAACAATTCCACGGATTGCACCGTATACAACTTAGTAATCTTTAATACTTATGCGCAAATACTATTTAAACATTCTTCGCGTGATCGCACAAACACAGCTGGCGTACCCAAACGTAAACGTTCACATCTTGGTTCCGCTGCTCTGTTAGTACAGTAATCCGGTAAACCAGCATCGAATTCGGATAATAGTAGATTAGCCACAGTAGTATGTCGATACGCCGTACAGACGTCTCATTGCCATGTGACTGCCACTAGCCACGTGCATGTTGGGTGTACTGTGATATCGCCCGCATCTGTGCAGACTCTGACCGGCAACCTACCGGCCGGTGGGCAGAATTAGATAGCTGACCCATAAAAACTATGTTTGCATTTTAGTCTTGCGGGCTAAAAGTTTCTACGAAGTGAATTGAATCTATTTGTCCGTCTTCATTAACTCTGGACATAAAAGTATGGTAACATGACCCAAATCCATTTTGTCAAAACTCACGAAAGCTGTAGTTTTACTTACGAGAGTCTAGTGACAACTGCCACAAATCGGTGAAGTAAATCGACATCGTCATGGAAGGATTAATGACCCCGCAGCCCGTTGTGTTAACAGATATCCCAAAACAAAGCATTTTATCGTGAGTCCCGGCCTGTCTCTTTACTTATGGTCAAACTGGTCTTCATACTCTAATTGCAGTGTTGGCGTCGCGTACATACTACTTTTCAAAAGGTCTCACATATGTCCAGCTTCAGTTAACCTTGCCACGAAGTTAATACCCCTTAATTTTCTTTACTAACTGCAATGTCAGTTTAAATTCCGCCGCAACCTCAGGATTAGTTTGGTGAAAGCAGGCTTTTACCACGAGGAATTGACAATAATCAAAACTAACTATTCCTCAATGATTCACAAAAGGTGGTCATCCGTTTCGCTAATAGTGTCTGCTAGCGCACACTGAACAGTGGTACATTGACACCGAGGTTAGGCAGACTGCACCGTATGATGCCTAGAATACCAGAAATTACTTGGAATACTAGTAGCTCGGGAGCCTTGTCCATTTGTTGCGGTGTGCACCGAGATGGGCAACTTGTTGGCCCTAGAGTACCCGTATACTACAATGCCGTCTTGCAGTACCAGACCGCTTTGATTAGGGATGCGCAACCCAACTGAGCCGGGCGACAAGTAACTTTTTCAATGCTAAATAGTTTGCGTGGTTGCGTTTCTCCAGCAAGCTGTGTGTTTATCTGGACTTCAACCGGTGTCATTTATCTATCATCCATCGCCATAATGCTCATATATGCCCCAAAAATCCGCCCACACAGTGCTCAGGTTACACCTATCATCATCGTCATTATCCTCTTCCTCCTCCTCCTCCTCATCATCATTCTCATCCTCCTCAGTATTATCCTTCTCCTGAGTATTATCCTCATCCTCAGCATCATCATCATCATCATCCACCTCCTCTTCCTCATGATTATTATCATCATCCTCACCACGAGCATCATCATCACCATCATCATGCTCATCGTTATCAGCATCGTCATCCTCATCATCATCACACATCCTCTTTGTCATGATTATTATCATCATCATCCTCACCATCATCCTCATCATCATCATCGTCGTCCACATCCTCTTCCTCATGATTATTATCATCAGCATCATCAGCATCATCATCATCACCATCATCGTCACCATCATCATCATCATCATCAGCACCATCATCATGCTCATCCTCATCAGCAGCATCATTATCATCCACATCCTCTTCCTCCTGATTAGTATCATCATCATCCCCATCATCATCATCATCATCATCATCATCATCACCACCACCATCATGCTCATCATCAGCATCATCATCAGCGGCAGCAACCTCATCACCAGTATCATCATCCTCCTCATCAACAGTAGTACCTCAGCCATTTGAAGTGAAGCTTTGCTGCCGTACCACCACGGTGAGCTGGGAAGAGAAGAACCATAAGGGAGAGAAAAAGGACCTGCGGTAAAACCATAATGCTTTAAACAAACACTCGGAGTCACGGCACCTACACCTTGTCAACAATATACCATTACAAACAGTTAGCTATCCTGCAATGGTTTAATGTGCATCCTCGTCTAAACAAACCTTGATCCTAGGTGGCTTGACCAGTTGTGCCGTAAATTCGAATGTTTTCAATGTTGTGTGATGAGATAAAAAATAACACTGAGTTTCCAAAACCAACAGGATGGCAAATTCGAAAGAAAAATGAAACGCAAATGTTTCAAACTGGAACGTGAAAGGTCAGTGGTCTAGATATGGCACTTTATCATTCCGTTATGTAATGTTTAGCATTGAATTAAAAGTCGAACAGACTCGAATGTCACATGTTTGGTACGTGCACCACATGTGCTGGCAATGCATTCCAGTGTGAACAGAATCTAGGGGAGTAAAAATAATTTCTGTACTCCAAATGAAAATGTTGAATTACTAGTTTCAAGTGGTGGCCTCCATGGTTTGTAAGGGGCAACGATCAGTGATGATTCAGATGGTCGATCGCTTTGCACTAGTATCCGGTATGCAAAAGTAAGATCTCCGCGAAACCGTCATCATTCTGATGAGAACATACCGGCTAACCGAAGGCGCAGTTCATAACGAGGG